AGACTACAGTAACTTCAGCCAATACAGTCAGAAAAGTAACTTCAACCTTACTTTTTCAGATTATTGCACAATTCAGCGCGTGAGAGTAAAATTACGTGTTTGGTGAAAAAGTTGGCTGATAAACCTTATAAGCCGAAAAATAGTGTTACCAAATGGCCTCTAATTCAGTAATTCTATCACCATCTTGCAAATAGCCTAGTTACTAGTTAGTAGTTACCAATATTTGTACTCCCTTATGCTTATAACATACTCCCTCCGGCCCTAAATGTTTGTCACTCTTTGACTTTTGTGCTATTCTAGGTAGACGTTTGACCGTAATTATCTATTAATATATACTTAAAAAATCTATAATAAATTAACATTTGAATAATACGTATTACAAAGAATCACATTAAATAATTTTTTTCGGATAAAATATAATTAATTTTGAGTAATTAGCGGTCAAAGTTTAACAAGTTTGACTGAAAAAAGTCAAAGAGTGACGAACATTTAGGGACAGAGGGAGTAGAATAAGTGTACAAATAAGAGCATTTAATCCCATAGAAAAATTCTCATTTTCCTTTTTTTTGAACATTTCACATTTTCCTTTTTTGAACGGTTTATATTTCCATTGTGGGAAACAATTAACAATCTTAAATAACAAATTAATTATTGAATATTAAAAATAATAGATTTATAACATCATAATTATCAACAATAATCAGCGTTATATTAGGGAAAACTGTCAATTTGGTCCTCATACTATCACGAAAAAGTCAATAGGGAGCCCGTTTGGTAGTACAAAAATCGGTTGATTTGAGTGATTCTGCTGAAATTTATGAAGTATGGATGAAGTGGTTGCATTGGCTGATGTTGCTGATTTAAGAAAAAAATAATTTTTAAAATATATTTTATTATTAAGAAAATTATATGTAAAAATAGCTAAAATGGTTATCTACAGTAACTTCAACCAATACAGCCAGAAAAGTAACTCCAACCTTACTTTTTTTGCGTATTACACAATTCATCGCGTGAAAGCAAAAGTTACGCGTTTGGTGAAAAAGTTGGTTGATGAGTCTGATAAGTCAAAAAAAAGTGTTGCCAAACGGCCTCTAAGTCCTCATACTTTTTAAAAAATCAATAAAATCCTCGAACTATGAAAAATTGTTCAATTGGACCAATTGATATGTTACTCGCCGCGTCAGCAGGTCACCTGATGACGTGGCACACACGTGGGAGCCCAGAGAGCCATTTTCCGGATGGTCCGCGTGTGCGCCACGTCAGCGGACGATCAGCTGACATGACAAGTAACATGCTAAACTCAATTGAAAGTTTTTTCAAAGTTCGAGGATTTGATTGATTTTTTTTAAAGTATGAGACCTTATTGATTTTTGAGGAATGGTTCCAAATAGGACCAAAATAAAGCTATTGTAACTAAATAGGACTTTGGATCTTTTTTATACTTAAATGCGACTAAATTTTTCCCGGCACCCTAAATTACCCCTGCTGCCAAAGAACGATTGATGAGGGAATCGTCTGCGCATAGTCCGGTGATGCACTTCACCGTTTTCCGGAGATTTGATTTTCTGATCCGGCCTTGTTCATCCTAGCCGGCCAGCTAGGCGGCGGCGACTTGCAGGTGAGTCTGAATCACCGTTGCGGAACCAAACAACAACCCGCGCGCCCCTCTTCTTCAAATTCTTCTCGATTGTGATGCTTCTTATTCTCTCAATTCTCAAAGCAGTTATGGTTCACTCTGGCTAATCTGGATTCAGGGTTTCAGGGTTTGTGGGTGGGCAAAGAGAGTTTCCGTAAAACCAGAGCCTCGAGAACAAAAACACGGAGTATAAAATTATCCATATGAGATAGAAGCTCACCCAATTGTGGATTTCTTTGTCAATGTCATATACAATAAATAATATTAATGTGAAGACAAAATTGTAAGTAATGTCATTTTTATATCATTGCCATTGTTATTAACAATGTCATTTTTTATTTCATTCTCATTGTCATTATTTGACATTGTGACAGTTTTTCGATATTTTGATAGTTTTCAGATATTGTCAATTTTTTACAATGGAATGACAATGTTACAATATCGCAATTTGGTTAGCGAACTAATGACAGTTCTTGACAATGTCACAATATTAATATTTCAATGTCACAATATTACAATGACATGACAATGTCACAATATTACAATGACATGACAATGTTACAATATTACAATGTCACAGTATCACAATGTCATTTTGTTAGTAATAAAAATGTTAATAAATTAAGTCAACATTGACACATTTTTTTATTGTCTTTTTGAGTAGTTGTTTTAGTTTTAGTTTACTCAAAGATATTAATTTTCAAACAAGTAAATGATTACATTATCATATAATGACATTGTGTATCATTACATTGTCAATAAGGTATCATACATTTGTCAACAATATTTTTTCTATATATATACACTTTGATTTTTTATAGCACTAATGTTGTTTCTAACAACGCCAATTTTATTAGGAGTGCGCACGGTCCAGTCTAATATAATATTATAGAATTGACAATGTTATGATAATCGTTGACATTATCATTACTACAATGTCATTTTTATAGTAGTGACATTGTTATTGTTATTTGTGACATCTCTTGGACATTGTATCATTTTCTCTGCATATTGATACAATATGTATCATTTTATGACATTTGAGATTGTGACATTCACAATCTTAAATTGGGGTAATATGGTAATATTATGGTAATATTTGAGATTGTGATACAGAGTATCGTTTTAAATTGGGGTTTTTCTTTGCCAAATGTCATTGTTGCACCATTTTGGCAGTGCAAGTTTAATGTATCTCGGTATATGGATATATCTAGAGAAAAACTATCAGCTCACTAACTTTAATTGCCAAACTATTCCAAAATTGAACATGCCCAGCGCGCAATAACTCCAGAGATGTCTTCACAGGCACGATGCATAAGCTAACAAACACCGCCCATCCAAATTTCCACTAAAAAACTACTTGAAGCGCTGCGATTAAAATCAAAACAATAGCAGGGAAGAAGAACAATCACAGAAGATGAATAGGAGATTAAAACCGTAAGAAAAAGGAGAAAACTAGAGAAGAGAATGTCCAAACAAGCAAAACAAAAAGTAAAATTGAAAAAAAAAAAATATTCACGCCAAAGGAGAGCAGCAGTAGTACTCCAACCGACCAATATCCTACGGAGTCCTTTAATTTAGGCGCTGCGGTTGCTCAGCTAGGGCAGCTTTTATCTTTGGCGTTTCAGAAAGAAGACTCACCACGCGGGAGGACAAAGAGGAGTAGCTTTTGCGGAACAGTGTGCGGTGGTGGACGGCGGTCGGCTGCTCCAGACGGCTGGCTATGACTGCAGTGGTTGCGGCAGCTCCCATTGGCGGTATACGAATCGAGTAATGCAATTGCTAATTGCGGAGTGGAAATTAAAAATCCAATACAGCTTCTACTCTTCGATCTCTTGAAAATTCAATGCCCTCAGCCACAAAGAATGCTCCGTATTAATCAAGGGTATTTTTGTCCATCCAATTAATTTTAGTCCTACTTAGGTATTTAAAAGTAGTCGGTCCTATTTAAGTTCAGAGGTAATGTTTTAGTCCTATTAGAGTCTTTCTCCCTTGATTTTTTCTTGATAGTATGATGACCAAATTGACACTTTTCCCTTAACTTCACTTATTTTGATTATTGCGCAAATATTTGGTACCTAAAGCTATGTAGTAGCATGTATATTTGGTAAAAAAAATTCTTGGCACGACCGATAAACCGAAAAAATGAGGGATACTGAAGGGTCGGGCTTTTAAATTTTAATTGTGGGATGGATCGGAGTGTGGTAGTATTCCTTAATGAAAAATTCTTGTTCTACACAGAATTAGTACACAGCTTGTATTCATTCAAAAAAGGCAGGATTTTATGTCAAAATGCTTTTGTACACATGCACTGCACAATTTGTCTACAGATGCATCGTACAATTTGTGTACACATTTTGTGCATACCAAGAATTACTCATTCTTCAGTCGGTATCATGATCCAATATCCAATTGTATGGACGATCCAAGTCATCTAGCTTTCTTCTCCACACTGCGTCGTCACTGCTAATAGCTAGAGAATTACGAATAAAAGGCCTTTTAATTTTACGCAGATTCTTATTTTGGGGTAAATTTTTGATTATTTTCATGACCATCATGTAGATGTTGAATTGTCAATACTTCCTCCTTCATTCTTTTTCATGTGATTTTTACTGCTAGAAAAGTGTTTTGCTAATACTAATAAAAAGTATAGTTGGTAATTGCATAGTTAGTTATTCTACATTTTGTATGGTAATTGTGTGGTTATGATATATAGTGTAATTATATTCTAGTCATTTTTCTGTAAAAGAACCCGATAGCTATATTATGAAAATTTAATTGCAATTGTGTAGTAATCATATTCGTGGTCACTTTGGAGTAATCATATTCGTGGTCATATAGTACATTAATTTTGATTAGTTCCACAACTGCATTTCGATACTTATGATTAGCGATGTGATGGTATATTAATTTTGTCATGGTCATATAGTACTTTTTTTGCGGTCATATAGTACTTTTAATAATATTATAATTGTATGATTGTGGAATTTGTGGTAGGGTAATTGTGGTAGGGTACTTTTAATTGTGTTTTGATTGTCATATGATTGTAAAAGTGTAAAAAATTTGGTTCGGCGTTCCTACAATTTTGATGTGTTGATAACAACTTGATATTAATAAATTCTAATGACATTGCATAAATACGTTTTTATTATCATCGCCTTCATTTAAATTGTTTGTCTGTGTTATAATTATTTTAATGTTCATCATTTCATTGCATAGCAATTTTGTGCTAATTTTATCACAACTGTACGTTTTTTTAAAACAATTCTATGCTAATTTTGTGCTAATTTTTTTGAAACAATAGTACGTGTTTTTTTGAACTCCAACTGAATGATATATTAATTCACCAAATCGTGTGCCAAAAGGCTTACAATAGAGTCCGGAACAAAATCATAACAACAGGACTGATCTGAGATAACAACATGTGCTCTTGTTAACGCATGGGCAACACGATTCGCAGATCGCTTACAAAAAGAGACAACAAAATTACTCTTTGTTTTCAACAAATTTCTAATATCATCTAGAATAAGGAAAAGATAAGAGGATCATCCCCCATTTTTGAGACCCTGGACCACCGAGAGCGCATCAGTATCAATCTCCACGTGTGACCAGCCTGCTTCGACCGCCCCAATCAAAGCATCCCGAACACCCACCGCCTCCGTTTCCGCTACTGACCAATTAGCTAGTTCTGAAGCCCCTTTCGCTTTAATGAAGTCTCCATGGTGGTCTCGCACAACCCACCTCCAGGCCCGAATATTTTTGTCCTCGTCCACCGCCACATCCACATTAATTTTGACATAGCCATGTTGCGGTCTTTTCCAAACTGTCAAGGAGCTAGCTCCTTTCCTTTACCTGCTCCGTTTGCCCAGCATCCTGAGCATCTCTCCAGCTTGATATTATACCTGCCGTCGCATTGAGAACCCCCGCAATCCATTGCCACCTATCTTTCCAGACACATCCATTCCTTCTCTTCCAGAGGCTCCATAGAATAGCAATGAATCTGCATTGATCTTCCTCATGTGTTCCTCCCAGGTGCTGCTAGATCAATGTAGTCACAAAGTCCGCTGGATAACCCAGATCAACTCCCACATGTCTCCAGACCACCTTTGCTTGATCACATAAACAAAACGTGTGATCTGTCATCTCGTTATCATCTCCGCACGCCTTGCACCCTTCGTGTACCTGTACTCCTTTTTTCCGCAAATTATCAACCGTAGGGAGAGAGCTATCAATAACCTGTCAAGCAAAAAATTTAAGTTTCGGCGAAATATACAAATCCCATAGCCGCGCCCAGTTAGTCCCATTTCCAGTCTACAGCTCCCCTATAAGTAATCGGTAACAGCTCTTGACAAAAAACATGCGACTATTCTCCCCATTCCACCAATAATCATCTTTCGTGTCATAAGAACTAATAGGGATACTCAGAATCTTCCTCCTATCTTCTTCATTAAAAATATTAGCAATTCTCTCTCTCTCTTCCACTTCTTTCCTGTGATATCACGCAGTGCTGCAACATTCATGTCTCTAATCCCTGGCAGTTTAGCAGAAGTGACTCTTCCCGACCCCTATCCTTTGGATATTATTTTTGAAAACAGGTTGTGTCTCAAAAATACTACGCTAAATGAAAGAAGGGTTATTCCCAACTTGAGCATGTAAAAAGTCCGAGTTCGGAATATACCTAGCCTTCAGCACTCCGCACATCAGACGGGATGGTTCCGACACCAGCTTCCATCCCTGCTTGGCTAACATTGTCAGATTAAATTCACTTATTCTTCGAAAGCCTAGCCCCCCCCCCCCTCCCCCCAAGTTTTTCGGCTTACAAAGAACCTCCCATCTTCTTCACCTCAAGCCCTTTTGCTCAAATTTTGTGCCCCTCCACCAAAAGTCATTCATTAATTTCTCAATTTTGTCACACAAATTATTCGGGAAGAAACACATTCATGGCATAGTTAGGCATAGCCTGAACCACATTTTTTAATAGAACCGCTCTACCTACTCTGGATAAAAATTTGTTGTTCCAGTTCTTACTTCTATTAAAAAAATTGTCTTTTAGGTAGCCTAAAATAGCAGACTTATTCCTTCCCACAAGTGTTGGTAGGCCTCGATACCGGCTTTGACCCCTTACCTTCGGAATCCCAAAAAGGCTTCAACAAGCTACCTTAAAGTGCTCCCCAACATTCTGACTAAAAGACAAAGATGACTTCACATAATTCACAGTTTGCCCTGAATTCTCCTCATAAATGGATAAAATATTTTTTAACAATCATTGTCTCCTCACTAGTAGCTCTGAAGAACAGGAAACTGTCATCTGCAAACAAGAGGTGTGAGACTCTAGGCGCCCCCCCTACACACCTCCACCCCGTGTATATCGCCCCGGGCCTCCGCCTTCTTCAGTAAGGCGCTCAGCCCTTCCGCAACCATAATAAAGAGATAAGGAGACAAGGGGTCCCCTTGCCTCAAGCCGCGCCCAGGGATGATTGAGCCCAAAAAATCCCGCTCAAACTGTACATAGTAGTTGACCGTCGCTACACATTCCATAATCATATTCACCCATCTCATATCAAAGCCCATACGGATCATAATCACACGCAAAAAGTCCCAGCCCACTCTATCATAAGTTTTGCTCATGTCAAGTTTCAAGGCAACATACCCCTCTTTGCCATTACATTTTCTTTTCAAAAAATGTTGAGTTTCAAAAGCAACAACTACATTATCCACAATGGACCGGCCCGGAACAAAAGCACTATGGTTTTCTCCAATAAGATTTCTCAACAAGACCTTTAATCTGTTAGCTAAAACCTTAGAGAAAATTTTATAAACCACGTTACATAACGCAATAGGTCTCCAATCCCCCATATCCTCAGGCTTATCTTTTTTAGGAATTAAAACAAGATTTGTTCCATTAAGTTCTCTCAGGATAATTCCTGTCGTAAAAATATTAGAGCAAAGCCTAGATATTTCCAGCCCAACAATAACCCAATATTTTTGAAAAAAAGCACGGTTCATACCATCCGATCCTGGAGCATTCTCAGAATGCATATCAAAAATAGCCAACCTCACTTCCTCGGGGCTGATATCCCGTAGTAGTAGCCGGTTCATCTTCTCCGCCGTGATCTGTCCAAAATCCCTGAAACAATCCGCCACCCGTGTACTCTCCCCTTGCACAAATAAATGCTCAAAGTAGTTCCTAACCATTTCCCCCATCTGAATTCTATCAGTACACCATGATACATCCGGCCTCTTTAGCCCGAACAATTTGTTCTTCCTCCATCTGTTTTTAATCGCATTATGGAAAAATCGAGAGTTTATATCTCCCTCTTTTAGCCAGAATTCCTTTGCCCTCTGTTTCTGGAATTGATTTTCCTTCTCCATCAAAGAATAAAGCATAGAGCGGACCCTTAGAAATTCATTCGTGCTCCTCCAATCATCTCTACCCCGTAACCATGCCAGCCGTCTTTTACATGCCTGAATTTGTTGCTGGAAACCATTCTATCTGCACCCATCCCATCTCAAAAGTTCGTTCCCACAGAACAGAATTCTCTCACTGACTGTGAGATGAGAGCTCGTGTTCTAGCTATTGGAGACCACCGTACGGCATTCCTCTTCTTTTAGCCAGTTATTTTCAAATTTAAATATTTTTGCTTTCCGGGTAATAGTTGCAGGAATTATTGTAACCCATAAAGCCATATGGTCGTACACTGGGGCTTTCACCGAAAAACCTGTGTCGTCGTATACTTGTTCCACCAGTCATCATAAACAAGTACTCTATCCAGTTTCTCCTCCACCCAGTAGTTCGTGCCTTTACCCCTTTTCCAAGTCCATTGATATCCGTCAAAAGGGAAGTCCCTAAACCCACAAGATGTCACCGCCTCCCCAAAACCTCTCAATCGCCAGGGTGGGTGAGGGATGCTCCCCTTTTTCTCACAGTCATACAAAATATCATTAAAATCGCCTAATATCATCCATGGTAGGGCATTATTTTCACTCAATCCTTTAAGTAGATCCCATGTCTCTCTTCTTCTTACAGTTTCCGGGAATCCATAGAAAAAGGTGAGCCTCCATACCTAATCATTCGGAGCTAGTCTGACAGTAGTATCAATAACATTAGAATGACACTGGATAACATTCAATTCCAAATCTTCGTTCCACCCGACCATCAGCCCTCCGCTCAGCCCCACACTGTCCACCCCTACACTCTGGGAGAAGCCTTGAGCCCGGAACAGTTCCTTTGCCCGCTGACAACGAATTTTAGTTTCCATAAGGAAAATCACAGACGGACGATGAGCTTGAATTATGCCCGCCATACATTGTACTGTTGCCGGATTTCCAAGCCCACGACAGTTCCGACTGATAATACTCATTGAATACTCACACTGCCAGACCTAGCGAACAAACATCACCGCCGGAAAATCCATTAGGGATAACCTAGCCCACGTCCACAACTTGGAGACAAAGCAATCGCCCCAGAATTCACCAAATTTTATGTCCCCTGATACCTTCGAATCGGGCCGCCTCAACACCCAGCCTTTGTTTCCTTTGCTGCGACTACAGGGCTAGCCAAAGAACAGCCCGACGCCAGTGTATGACAGTCACCGACGCCGTGGAATCTGCAGGGAAGCACGATCGCCGAGCGCTAAACGCCGAGCACCTCCAATTGTACGTATTTAGTGATTCTGCTTTGGTCATTGTTTTATTATATAAATACTAGACAATTACGTTCTTATAGTTGCATGATAATTGTGTTGTATTGTGAAGTACTTATTTCCAATTGTTTCCAAAAAAATTAAATCAGTGTTTTCAGTTTGTTTTGTATCTGCCTTTCTTCGCGTTGTCTAGGGATTTTGTCGCATTGTCTAGAGATTTTGTATTCGATGATGGATCGGAGCGCAGCTTGTTAGCCGTATATTCTCCACAATTTTTCTTGTATGTTATTTTTTTGACAGTCAAATAACTAATTTATTATTAAAAGATAGCAAGGATTCAAGAAAAGGAATAGTCTAAGGCTAATAATGAGACGAGACATAGAACAGAAAAGATCCAATGAATCCTTCGAGATCGCTAAACCCACAATAATGTAGTCTAGTCTAACAGCCTTGTCTTATTGCTACTCCAAAGAGAAAATAAAAAATTACAACTAAAAGATTTGGCTTTACCAGCCACCGGAAAGAGAGAATTGGTTTGACCAGCAATCAAAAAAGGAAAATCAGTCGAGTAGAAATTTTCTGAATCATCGGTTTGACCATCCAGTGAAAAGGAGATCCAAGGAGATCCAAGTGAGGCGGTGGTTCAGGTGGTGGGCGAGTAATTGAAGCACCAGAAAAACAAGGTAGAAAAAACTTTACCAATCATGAACAACGAAAATTCACCAGATCGACTACACTGATTAGAAACACATAACCTCTAGACATTGTTAGTAGAATAACATATCACGCGCTCACATGAAGCGAAAAAAATTCTCGGCCAATGAAGAAGCCGGACCAAAATCCTCGAAAATAGAAATTAAAAAAGACCGGAAGCATAGAAAAACCTTTGATTCGATCTTTCACTGCGTAGAGAATGTCACCATATTCCAAAACTTTTTGCTGTTGAAGAAGAAACGACTGGAATATCATGTCTTGAAGGAGGTTGGAGATGACTGCCTGGGTTTCCCTAGGCCTAGGACCGGCTCTTCCGTAAAATAATGTTAGTTTTGATTTCTTCATCAACTATGACCTTGATTTTCTTTATCACCATTAATTAATCCGCTCCCCCCTCCCCCGAACAACCTTCTTCCCACACAGATGTGCGCGTCATGTGAATGAGATAACATTGATTTCTTTCATTTTGGTGACTAGTGAATCTGAAACAAATTTTGCACTTGATTTCTCACGTGAAAGTTTCATAGTTCCTTTTCAGTGGATGGTGAAGCCAAGATACGTGTCTTTTTTTCTCTTGTTGATGAATTCTCCTGATGAGAAATAGGTGAATGCGTAATGGTGAACCATGATAAATCCAACATCTTTTTGGGGGGTGTGAATGAAATGGATCTCACCTAGATGTATGATCAAGGGGGATTTGCCTAAGGCATATGATACGATCTCTTGGGAATTTCTTGATGAGGTCTTAAGGGGTTTGGGCTTCCCCTAGATGTATGATCAAGGTAGATTTGCGTAAGGCATATGATACGATCTCTTGGGAATTTCTTGATGAGGTCTTAAGGGGTTTGGGCTTCCCCGCTAGATTTGTTGGTTGGATTATGGAGTGCGTAACCACGGCTTCGTTTTCCGTATCTTTGAATGGATGTTTGTACGGTCACTTTAAGGGCAAAATAGGTATTCGCCAAGGAGATCCAATGTCTCCGCTTCTTTTTGTCCTTTGACTTGAATATTTTTCTCGTCTTATTAATCAAAAAACCAAAGGGCCAAATTTTAATTTTCATCCCCAATGCGCTAAACTTCATATTTCACACTTGGCCTATGCGGATGATTTAATTCTCTTCTCACGGGGTGACACGTATTCTATCAAGGTACTTGCCAATGCCCTTATGGAGTTTGGGGACACATCGGGCCTAATGGTGAACCATGATAAATCCAACATCTTTTTGGGGGGTGTGAATGAAATGGATCTTTCGGAGATAATGGCCCTTGTGGATTTTGGGCGAAGGACGTTTCCAGTTAAATACCTTGGAATCCCTCTCGCCCCGCTAAAAATATCGGTTGCTCAATATGCACCATTGATTGATACCATTTCTGATTTTTTAAAGACTTGGAACACAAAAACCTTGTCCTATGCCGGTAGGCTTGAGTTGATTAGATCGGTGATCCAAGGGGTCCAATCTTTTTGGCTCCAAGTGTTTCCGGTGCCCCAAACTATCTTGGATAGGATAGTCTCTATCTGTAGAGTCTTCTTGTGGGGTGGAAAATTCTCTAAAGTGGCTTGGGATGACATTTGTCTACCAAAAGAGGAGGGGGGCCTAGGCATTCATAATGCCAAAATTTGGAACTATGCTCTCCTCTCTCGTACGCTTTGGGATGTCCATAGGAAAAAGGATACTCTTTGGGTAAGGTGGGTCAATGGGGTTTACCTTCAGGGTAGGAGTGTGTGGGATTTTATCCCACACAATCGTGACTCGATTTTCATGAAGAAATTGAGTCACATCCGCGACCGTATTTTGAGTTGTTTTAATAACTTAAATGATGCCGTGATGGGCCTTAACTCTAGATCCGAAAATGGTAAACTCCTGTCGGGAAAAATCTATGAGTTGTTGAGAGTGAAAGGGACGCCAAATTCTCCTTCAACGTTAGGCTTGCCTTGAGGAATCGATTACCTACGCAGGATAACCTCGGTTACCTACATATCGTTAATCGATGTGACCTTTGCAAGGGTGGCTTGGAAACAATGCCACACCTATTCTTTGGTTGTTCTTACACTTGTAGGGTTTGGGAGAGAATTAAAGAATGATTGGGATTGACACGCAAGATGTCCACGCTAAGCAGCTCGGTCAAATAGGATCTTGAAAGAACACAAGGGCTCAAAAATAAAGGGGAAGGCTGTTCGGATTGCGTTCGGTGCAACAGTGTACTACTTATGGCACGCTAGAAACGCAAACAGATTTGATGAGAAAGACATTAAAGAGGAAGAAATCGTTGTGAAGGTCACGTATGTGGTATATAAGCTACTCTACAACATATACCCACATGACTTGATAACTTTTTTAGACCAAGGGCTTAGTTGGTGCTTCCCGCTGCATTGAAGACTTTGGACATTGTCGTGTGTTTTTCCTTTATGCCGCGGCATGGACTTTATGGATGTCGCGGCATGTTGACTTCGTACAACGCGAAATGGACATCATGGATGAAGCGTCACGAGGCAGTGGCCTCGACTGGTGGCTGCATTGCTATGACACATTAGAGTTGTTTAGATGGTTTAGCCTCTGTTATTTGTGCCGGCTTTGACGGCACTGTTGTATTTTTAGAAACTCTAGATGTGCTAAGTATTTATACTTGGTTATTTTGGCATAGAGTAGATCGAATAAAAACCTCTTCTCACCCTCACACTATGTAGGGGTGGGGGGTTTTAGGAGATCTAGTGTGACACCGCACCCGGATGTACTTGAATTTGGAATTTGATATGTATTCGAATTTCCTAACGAATAAAATTCGTGTAATTGATTGGCATATTTAATTAATGTGCGATTAATTAAATTATTTATCGGGTCCATATTATTGAGAATGAGCTACCAAATATCTATTTGGGTCAATGTAATAATTATAGAAGCCCAATGAAATGCCAACCAAAGTTGGGAAAAATGCTTGGACAATACAAGTGTCATTTCGACCCAACCTGCCAGAAATAGCAGGGATAATTGGGAGGAACTTCCTACACCCATTTGGGGATTTTTCTTACATGATTTGGGGTCTCAAAATAATGATTTTGAGACATGTAAACATGGGTTGGGCGAGATTTTGAGTGAGGGGATGGCTCAAGACAACCAACCACTCCATTGGCCATACCTTTGCATTATTTTGGCTTGGGTGAGGGATAGATATTTTTCCCCTTCATCCTATACCATACACACAAGTCAAGGGAGAGAGAAGCTCAAGGAAGAAGCTCTCACAAGTTCTGAACGTGAAGGAGCACAAGGAAGAAGGAAATCCAAGAGGAAACTAGCTAGGAAGAAAGGTAAGAACTCAAGTATATTCTTTAACTAGTTTATTGTCGTATGATTTTTAGGCAATCATGTGATGGATTAAACTTGAAGTTCTACACGTTTAAAAGTGTAGAATATTGATATAAAGTGGTGGTAATTAACTTAGAAGAGTCGTGGAATCGATAGGAGTTGAAATCGCCGGAAACCGCCACTTAAAGGGAGCTGTTCGTAGCTGCAGACCACGAAAGCCGCCCACCTTTCACGAAAGCCGCCCGGCTTTCGTCTGCTGCCCAGATTTTTCATCTCCAAACGGTTTAGAACGGGGATTGATCGAAGGGCTTAACAAGGAAAACTATTTCAGCACTTCATAAGGTGAGGATGGCTGACTATATTGCTTATAATCTTTGGGTTAATTTCGTAGGATTACCTAAAGTAAATAAATGTGATTTTCATGGATTATTAATGATTAATAATGCCTAAATGAAAATATTGTTGTCAATGAATAAAGGAGCATAATATACAAATTTAAGGATAAATTGTGTATGATTATGTAATATGAGCATATTGGCTTGATGAAGGGATTAATTATAAATAATGTGTTGAAATATAACTATAACTTCATATAAGGATATATGAGTGATTAAAGGTTATATTTTGTATATTGATATGAACTATATTTTCAATGGAAAATTAGTTTGGAAATTGTCTATATGACTATGAATTGAAAATGAGTTTTGTTGGAATTTATCCGACTAGTATTATGATACTAGTCGGGGTTTTGGAATGAAATATGTTAGAATTGATCCAAGGTTTGGATTGTAAATTGTTGAGCCTTAAGTAGTCTTAAGAGATACTAAGGTGGATAAGTGATGCTAGGGGTAGGCCTTAAGGGATACCCAAGATAAAGTGAATAATAAATTGATCCTAGGAATAGGATTGGCCTACGGGTGTATTCGGTAGTCTTTAAGGATTAGCCGATAGAGTATTGGTAATTAGTAAGGACCATGGCCCTTCCCGACTCTAGAGAGCGGGGTTGGATAGCATGGACTTACATCGTGATCACGGGTTAGGGTGGAATCCGAACCGGAGACCTTACGAGGCTCCCGACAGCGGTAACACATAAGATAGGACCCCGAATGGACCTTACCTTCCTACGGGATGATGGGTATGAGTTCAGGGGCGGGATGTTGGACTCCGGCCCGAGAGCCCGGTGAGGCCTCGGAGAGCGGTGACAAGTCTCGTAAAGGATGATAAGACCTACGGGCGGTGTCGTGCTAACGACGGGTATAATGAAATATATGAAATGGGCCGTGTGCCGACAAATAAATAAATTTACTTATTATAGAGATAATAAGTGGGAAATATAAATTATTATTTATATTATGATATCACCCTATTTTGAGGGTCTTAGAAATTAAAACGTTGATTATACTTAGTATAGTTGTCATTGTACTTGTCAAATGCTTCCAAGTACTGACCTCCCCTTCACGGGGGAGGCCACCTCACAGTTTCAGGTAGGGAGTAAAGCTTGCTACCATCGCCCGTTGCTTCGGGGAGCTCAGGGAGAGAAGACGTGGTTCGTGCTTCCTCCGTTCTATTTTTAAAACATTAAATTAATGCTCATGGATATTATTTTGAATAATTATTTGGGGCTTGTACGCCCATGTTGCCGAAGTGTGGCATAAACACTTGTATTAAACGTTTCCGCTGATTTAAATGATTATTTTACATTATGTTTGTTTATGGATGTACTATTGTGAATGATATTCAAGACGCCTAGTATAGTATGGATGAGTTGGACTGCGGTTGACTATTCGTACTGTACGGCGGGTTGTTGACGTGTCCGGTAGGTCCGGGGCGTGACATCTAGTTTATGTGATGTATATTTTTCTGGGTGTTAATATATTTTTACATTTCATCAAAAAAAAAATAGGTGAATGCATTAAGAAGAGACATGTGTGAGAAGCTTCCTTCTTAGGTGTCTAGTGATACAAAAAATAAAGCCTTCTTACCAGTTGGATCATTTTGGATAATTAGTCAAATCGGACCTTTTCAGTTAGCGACTGCATGGACTTTTTATGTTTTTTTTTGTTTCACCGTAATGTAACGTCAAGCGGTATCATCGTGATATTTGCAATTTGCTTGTCCAAATAGAGAACTTCTTCTTGTACACACTTTTATACCCATCTTATACCCACCATTCCTGTGAGGAGTTTTTTTCTGTGACCGGGATTCACAGATAAAAAAACTCCTCACAGACATAGTGGGTACAAATATGGATATAAGAGTACAAACAGTTTTCTTGGGTCCAAAAAACACATGATTCTCATTCATTCTTCGTATCTGACTAGTGTAACACTCGGGGCATGCCCCGGTAGTGTCACTTTGATAAATATTACGGAGTACATACATCCCATTTATGTTTCTTTCTTTGGTTTGACTTAATTATAAATAAAATGGTTAAAAATTAAAAGTTGTAGTTGGGATTTGATTATAGTAAAGTGAAATGTTGACACTTATTTTGAGACAATAATCCAAAAAGAAAAATAGGACATGTAAATTGAGACGGAGGAAGTATTGAATAATAAATATCAATAGAGACTGAAATTTTTTATAGAATCAGGTAAATGTTATGATATTAATAAAAACAAATTAATATGTATGCTAATATTCTGTTGAGGTATGAGAATGAATATTCAAAAGCATTAATGTGCATTAGTCATTGTGGGTTTGAAAATGAATGAAATTATTAATGTTAGGGGACCCGAATCCGAATTAGCTAATTGCCTGATTGGTTTTTCAATGTGTCTAGTCTCAGAGTTGGATGATTCTTAATCAGGTCTTACTTCGTTTTTTTGCAATTTAACAACTGTAAACCATTTTGCTCTAATTTTTAGCAATTTAGTTTGAAGTGTTAATTGCTGATCTTAATTAATAAACAATAGGGAGTAATATTTTTTATTAACAAATTGGACCTACCATTCAACAAAATTGTTTTAGCGGGGTTATCTATTTTTTCTTTGATTTGGGGAGTAACCTCCAAACTTATAGAAATTGCTTTAGGGGATTTATCTATTTTGTTTTGAATTAGGAAGTAATCTCCAAATTTAAAAAATTGGAATGGATAGTTTTTGAGGTTCTTGTAACTCTCTCCAAAACACTTCAAATGATTTAATTTTTAAGTTCTCCCAAATTGAGAGTTTTTGAAAGATAACAAATTAAATGATAATTTTAACTGAACTCAAAATGAATATAAGTTTAACTATTATACGTTTTCAACAATTTTAATTGTAATTCCTTTGTAACCCTTCACCTCAAACTCTCAAGCATACCTTTAGATGTCTTTCATATAAAAATAAAGTAGAAACAAAATACAATTCAATGTTCAAAGTATATACTGTTTTATATAACAAAACTAAGTTATAACACAATAATGAAATTAGCTGAATTGACTGAAGTGAAGTGACACAAAAAAAGTTTGGTAATATTGAAATTAGCTTAATTGTCCGAATCTGGTTAAATTGATTAAATTCAAATTGAATTGATTGAATGTGTTGAATTTTGAAAAAATTAAATTTAAAATGTAGTTTATTATTGAAACAAAGATAAAATTATGAAATCATTATAAATTTATGACTAAGATAAAGAGTGTTCAGAAAAATTGTGACATCTTAAGTGTAATGACTATAATAGTCATTTGAAATAGAAGCTTATGTTCAAGTTTTACATTTAAGTGAGTGTGACATTTTGCAAAAAAAAGTGATTGTGACATTATACTTATAGTATCCTTAATCATATTCCTGTAAATATGTTTTATTTTAGTAATATTTTCGAAAAACTATAAATTTGTATGTGAGTATAGCTAAAATAGTAATCTTAAGCAATTTTCTCCAATTTAGATAGAAAAGTAACTCTAATCTTATTTATCTTGATTATTAAATAATCCAATTCACGAAAAAAAAATCATGTTTTTGATATAAAATTGTCAGGATAAGGTTGATTAACCGAATATAGAGGTTACCAATGAGCTTTTTATTTATGTATTAATTATTTGGTATGAAAGGAAGAAGAGATAGGAAGGAAAATAAATTACGGGATTAAGAGCCTATTTAGTGACTCTGTTTCTCGGCTTATCAGTCTTATTAGCCAACTTTTTTACCAAACACGTAACTTTTGATTTAGTCGGCTAAAATATGTAACATAAATATAAGTAAGGTTGAAGTCATTTTTCTCACTGAATGGGTTGAAGTTACGGCAGAGAGGACTATTTTAGCTAATTTCATATACTTTTTCTTTATTTTATTAATGAAATGTAATAAAATTAAAAAATTTTAATAGAATGAGCTGATTCGACCAATTTCAGTGTCATCCAATGGACTTTAAGAATAGGAAGAAATTAATAAGTGAGTGAAGTTTTAGAAGCATATGATTAGGATGTTATCTTTTGGACTGAAATTTATTGGTCTGGTCTGATCTGGTCTAGTCTGTTTAAGTCTGGTCTGGTCTGATCAGGTATGGTAAACGTCTGGTCCATGTGTATTTTATAATTGTCCAAGTTTGGTCTGGTCTGATTTGTTTAAGTTTGGTCTGGACTGATCTTTTCTAAGTCTGGTCTGATCTGGATTGAAAATAGTCCAAAAGAAAACATCCTTAGTCT